CGAGCTAAACGCGAAGAACGTTCGCTTCGCGGATCGTGAGAATTAGCCGGCGTTCTTTCGCAACGTGCATCATTTTTCCCGGCTTTCTCCGAGCGGAGCCGAGCGCAGCCGCGTTTTCTGCGAGATCGCCGGACCATCAATATTAGTCATGCACTTTACCGTGCTTCCACTTATCTCGCTGATTCAGGGAATACTTTTGGACGTTACCGATTTCTATTTTTTGCGAGCAAAGCTGCGGGAGCAAAGCGGCGCTAAGCAAAGCCGGGCGAGAAAAGCCGTGCAAGCAAAGCAAAGCCGCGCGAGCAAAGCCGAGCAAAGCAAAGCTGCGCGAGCAAAGCCACGCAAAGAAAAGCCGTGCGAGCAAAGCAAAGCCGCGCGAATAGAATTGCGAAAGTAAAGCCGGGCAAAGCAAAGCCGTGCGAGTAGAATTGCGCGATTAAAGCCGCGCAAAGCAAAGCCGCGCGAGTAGAATTGCGCGAGCAAAGCCGTGTAAAGCAAAGCAGCGGGAGCGAAGCAGCGCGAGTAAAGCCGCGAGAGCAAAGCAAAGCCGCGCGAATAGAATTGCGCGATTAAAGCCGCGCAAAGTAAAGCCGCGTGAGTAGAATTGCGCGAGTAAAGCCGCGCGAAGCAAAGCCGCGCGAGTAGAATTGTGCGAAGCAAAGCCGCATAAAGCAAAACCGCATAAACCAAAGCCGCATAAACCAAAGCCGCGAATAAATCATAAGCAACGCTCGAAACTACTCGCCTAACAAAAGACGAAACGATTGATAAAACTATCTTTTATCCGTTGTTAAGATTGAATTTGCAAGCGAGACAGATGAAAATGATGTTGCCATCTCGCGGTTTTCCTAAAACATGTTTTCCCTCGGCTAGCAATTAACTTGGTTGCCGCATAAATTCACAAGCGACACGGCACCGAGATTAACGTCCACTTAAATAACACAAAGTAGAAGCGACGCCGATGACATTAACTCCGCGGATTCGTCTAATGTCTAATGTCGCGGCGCGAACCGGCACAATCAAGGACGCGCATCCATCGGCCGTACAATATTTCTTTGGTCTCGGTTTTGCAATCCCCGCGATCCACATCGAGCCGATGCTGCGAACTTTGCATTGCAAATCGGAAACAATACTGCCGTCCGTTAAAGTCTCGTCTCGCGTCTCGACGTTACACGATGTCGACCGCGCTGTAACACGCGACGCTGTGTAACAGTTGTCTTCTTTTTCTTGTCAGATTGTTTATTGATATTAATTGACGCGACCGGTTCGGGACAATGAAATTTCAACGTTAAATAGGCTTTACTCGCGTAAACGCTCGAACACGGCTCGAATGATTTTCAGTCTGGATTATAATTGCTATGTTAATTTTATACAGGGTGCGACATTCGAAGTGAGTCAGCTGAATAACTCGTTCGCTTTTGACGATAGAAGAAAAAGTGTCGGACAAAAGTTGTTCCATTTCGAGGGGCACATTGTATAATGTCGACGACTTTTTTATAGGTGGAGAGGTAGAGGACATACGAAGGTCAAACTTGTTTTTGTAAATAGGACGACCTAATTTCTTATTCGCTGTCTGGTGGAGCCTTTCGAGACGGATACAATGATATGTAGATGAAGGCTATTCAAGGTCAAAACATATGAACTACGATGAAAAACAGATTCAGGTGACTCGTTTCAAATGCGCCACTCTGTATATCCTAGTCTTTATATCGAATAGTACATTTTTAAATGTAAAGTCACTGAAAAGCGATAATATAGAAACTTTATGAACAATTACTCCTGCAATTATTATATATTATTATTATATTTAATTAATATATATTATTATTTATCGATCGCTTATCGATGTTTCATTAATGAACCATAAAACTCAATTAAATCATGCATCGAATTCGGTTCTCGGTTTTCACGAAGGAAATATAGGTCCGCATCTTGTGAAACCCGCGTCGTTGCATCATTCCGTCCTTTTTTCTTTTTCTCTTCGCGATTAAATGGCCAGTTTACCATTCACTTATCCCCCACCCCCCTCCCCGTTTGAGACGCGCGTGTACAAATCGTTGTCAAATTACTCGAATGATTTCCCAAATAACCTTGACGAAAAATGACGATTTTCCAGAAGCATAATAGGACCGAGAGAATCGCGGCTCGGAAACGAGCGATTCCAGCGAACGCGAAGGAAAGCCGGTTCCGATCGGCTCGACGTTATGTATGTACATAATTGCACGGCTAACTAAGCAAGGTTAAAATCGATGGTATCGAATCGGCGCGCGAAATTTTCCGGCACCAAACACTTTCCCCGTAACGAGTTCGCCAACATTTTCTGCGGCTGTTCGACCGAGTTCCTCGCGGAATGCCAGCCCGAATGCATAATTCGCGGCGTAATCCCCTCTGCCACCCCGCCCACCCCACTCTACCGCCCCAAAAAAGCGATGAAAATTGTACACACTGAAATGCTTTTTCCTAATTTTGCTTTTAGTTGGAATGATACAAAAAAAGATGTGAAAAAGACTCTTGCGAGTATGTAATATTACACCTTTGTTTGCATCCTTTGTTAATGTTTATCAGGTCTGCTGAAAAGGTTCTTAACCTACGTAATTATAGGTCAATCAATTATTATATTATATAATTATATTATATATTATATATATTATGCTGTATGTAATATAATATAATTAGTATAATTATATAATATAATATAATTAGTACAATTATATATTACAATATAATTAGTACAATTATATATTATAACATAATTAGTACAATTATATATTATTACAATACAATATAATATAATTAGTATAAATAGTATAAATATATATTATAATATAATTGTAACAATTATATTATGTTATATAAATCTGTCTCTTATACACATCTAGATGTGTATAAGAGACAGAATTAGTACAATTATATAATATAATTAGTATAATTATATCATATTGTATTGGTAATAATATATAATTGTACTAATTCTGTCTCTTATACACATCTAGATGTGTATAAGAGACAGAATTAGTACAATTATATAATATAATTAGTATAATTATATCATATTGTATTGGTAATAATATATAATTGTACTAATTCTGTCTCTTATACACATCTAGATGTGTATAAGAGACAGAATTAGTACAATTATATAATATAATTAGTATAATTATATCATATTGTATTGGTAATAATATATAATTGTACTAATTCTGTCTCTTATACACATCTAGATGTGTATAAGAGACAGAATTAGTACAATTATATAATATAATTAGTATAATTATATCATATTGTATTGGTAATAATATATAATTGTACTAATTCTGTCTCTTATACACATCTAGATGTGTATAAGAGACAGAATTAGTACAATTATATAATATAATTAGTATAATTATATCATATTGTATTGGTAATAATATATAATTGTACTAATTCTGTCTCTTATACACATCTAGATGTGTATAAGAGACAGAATTAGTACAATTATATAATATAATTAGTATAATTATATCATATTGTATTGGTAATAATATATAATTGTACTAATTCTGTCTCTTATACACATCTAGATGTGTATAAGAGACAGAATTAGTACAATTATATAATATAATTAGTATAATTATATCATATTGTATTGGTAATAATATATAATTGTACTAATTATATTATATTATATAAATAGTATAATTATATATTATAATATAATTATACTAATTATATTATATTATCTAAATAGTATAATTATATATTATAGTATAATTATAGATTAACAAGGTTAAATAAATAACCCAGCACTGAAAAATCAGTTCCAAAAACCCCAAAAGCTAGCTAAAAGCTGCCCGATCAAGTGTATTACAGATAAAAAAATCTATTAACCCCAATTTTTCGTCCTCAACTTATCTGCCTATTAAAACCAACATCACCTATTTTATAATTATTCCAGTTTCATTGAAGCACAAGCCATAACCTCGCGGCTCCTTTGTATACTTATTTATTGTCAAGAAGTAGAAAAATCGAGGCAGCAAAGCTCTCTCTCTCTCGAGCAAATCGAGTCTCAGCTCTCCCCAAATAGTCAATTTTTGCGCGCAATCCGAGAGCACGCGAATTAGGGAGAAATTACGGTATCCAGCTAGAGAGGGACCGGTCGGCGTGGGGAAAATCGTCGTGGAAGGCGGGCAAAATCGCGACGGAACCTAGCGAAACGCGTAGCCAATTCGACAACGATCCGGCGTGCTGCTGCTGCTGCTGCAGGCACCGTTCTCCGCTCCGTCGTCGACTTCTCCTACAAGCTGCCCGCCGACCCGGGTGCTAGACCAATGACCGACAAGTGGCACGAGGCAATCAACACGCCGAATGCGATAAAGCAATCCTTTGCCGCGCGCGCCTACCGGCCGGGGGATATCGCGCGGGTTAACATATCATCCCCGTCTTTCGGTCCGACTTTAGTCGCAACGAACCTCCGGATCGGCCGCGCGATGTTCGCTCTCCTTGCTCGCGCATGGTACGGCACAGACAGATGTTCGTCGTCCGATTCGTCGCAGAGTGGTCGCCAGAACTGGTGGACGGTTCCCTGTGAAACGACGCTTTTTGTATTTTTAATTAATAACTCGGGAAAAAAGGGACGCCGCGGAAATCGAGCGGAGGCGCGGTTTCGATTTTCTTTTGGAAGGGAGGGAACGTCGAGCGAGACGCGTTCCGAAGATACGCGCGCGCTTATGGGGAACTTGCTCGATGTACAGTCGGCCCGAAAAATCTCCGAAAAGTCTCCGTGCACCTTTTGAAATGCGGTTAAATTTTTTGAGAGTGCGTGCTCGATGTATTGGGTTTTTTGGGATTTGAATTGTGGAGGAAGTAGTGTACTAGAGAAGTAGTATAGTATACTAATTCACTGTAGTTATAGTATACTAGAAAATGATTCAAAAGCTTTCCTTTCTTTTTTTTTAATTTTGCTATTATTTGCAGTGACGAAAAGAAAAAAATAGGGAAGTCTCGTTTTTCAACTTTTTTATCCGAGCTTGTGACGAAAATTAAGAGATCGCAGACTGCAGATTTGTTATAATTTTTGGTCGAAATCGTGACGAAAGTGCGGCTTTTGCAACCCTTAATTTGTTGCAATTGAGATCCGAGATCAACGTAAAACGTTTCTTGAATTTCCGTTGCAGTCTCTGATAAAATAATTAAAGAACGAATTGAAAAGTATAAAAACGATCTTTTTGTCATTTCAAATAACAGCAAAATTAAAAGTGAAGCATTTTAATCTTTGTCTGGTATCCTACTTTCTCTATAATCTAGAAAAAAAAGCAAGAATTAAATCGTTTAGTGCAATTTTAAAGAAGTTATTTCGTTTCAAAAGGTGTACGGAGACTTTATACGCTGACTGTACTTGCCCCGTTGGCCATGTATTTACCGACAAAAGTTAAGAAACATGTTACACAGACGTACATTCTTGGGTGCAGCGAGCCTTCTTAACGTGGAACAAAGATTTGTATTGTGTCAATGAAAATAGTAATAAATTGTTATATAAGCTATGTGTAAGCGATGCGTTATATGCTTCACTATGATATGTGCTTTAACGCCGAAACGAAGAGCGTCCGATTATGTTTCCCCTGTCGACGAGTTGCATTTCGGATGGATATATACAACTTCTATGAAGTCGATTATATATATAAGATGATCGTGAATGTATCGACATTACTAACGATATTACTAACGAAATAGTAATTAAATGATAATGAACTTGATACCGTTTCTCTTTCGTTCTAGCTTAATGGCAGCGCTGATCTGTTCAGCTTCCGGCACGTTGCGTGAGTATTTTAAATATCTGGTCATTCGATAAGTAATGCGAATTTTTGTTCATATTTGTGACAGAGGAAATACGTAAAAAATTGCATCGTACTTGAATTGCGTCGTAATTGAATTGCATCGTACTTGAATTGCATCGTTCTTGAATTGCATCGTACTTGAATTGCATCGTACTTGAATTGCATCGTACTTGAATTGCATCGTACTTGAATTGCATCGTACTTGAATTGCATCGTACTTGAATTGCATCGTACTTGAATTGCATCGTACTTGAATTGCATCGTACTTGAATTGCATCGTACTTGAATTGCATCGTACTTGAATTGCATCGTACTTGAATTGCATCGTACTTGAATTGCATCGTACTTGAATTGCATCGTACTTGAATTGCATCGTACTTGAATTGCATCGTACTTGAATTGCATCGTACTTGAATTGCATCGTACTTGAATTGCATCGTACTTGAATTGCATCGTACTTGAATTGCATCGTACTTGAATTGCATCGTACTTGAATTGCATCGTACTTGAATTGCATCGTACTTGAATTGCATCGTACTTGAATTGCATCGTACTTGAATTGCATCGTACTTGAATTGCATCGTACTTGAATTGCATCGTACTTGAATTGCATCGTACTTGAATTGCATCGTACTTGAATTGCATCGTACTTGAATTGCATCGTACTTGAATTGCATCGTACTTGAATTGCATCGTACTTGAATTGCATCGTACTTGAATTGCATCGTACTTGAATTGCATCGTACTTGAATTGCATCGTACTTGAATTGCATCGTACTTGAATTGCATCGTACTTGAATTGCATCGTACTTGAATTGCATCGTACTTGAATTGCATCGTACTTGAATTGCATCGTACTTGAATTGCATCGTACTTGAATTGCATCGTACTTGAATTGCATCGTACTTGAATTGCATCGTACTTGAATTGCATCGTACTTGAATTGCATCGTACTTGAATTGCATCGTACTTGAATTGCATCGTACTTGAATTGCATCGTACTTGAATTGCATCGTATTTGAATCGCATCGTACTTGAATTGCATCGTACTTCAATTGCACCCTACTTGAATTACACTCGTACTTGAATTGCACCCTACTTGAATTACACTCGTACTTGAATTGCATTCTACTTGAATTGCACTCGAATTAAAATTAGGCTTGAATCACGTAATTGAATCACAATGTAGCAAACTTCGTCTCTCTATCAGCTCAAAAAATATCACGTTGCATGATCAAATTTGTAATTATTTGTTTGTCTTACCACTTCTTGAATTTAACGTTGGACTAATCATTCTAATTAAGTCTTATATGTATATTACCTTTAAAATATACCAAAGAATAATCGTATTACAATACACATGTAAGCGAAATGACCTTGTGAAAGAAAATTCTGACTCTTAAAAACACGAACAATAACTTCATGCGAATGTTTGAAAAACAATAATAATTATTTCTCGCATACGTTTTGGAAAAACTGATTGCAGCGTCGTACATAAAGCCATGCAAGAAGAACGATCCTAACATCAACGCATGCGTGACGAAAGCGATCGACCAGCTTCGAGATAGATTGGCAGCGGGAATTCCAGAACTTGAAGCGCCCGCCATCGAGCCTTTGAACTTGAAGGAAATTCGACTGTTGAGGGGACCGATCGGAGCACGGCTCGACGTAAATCTCACGGATCTGAAGGTAAACGCAGTGGCGGATATTTATTTAATCGTCAACGTCCGTCAACGCTTCGTCTCAATCATGCTTGTCCATAAATAATTATTATATTTATATATTTTATATATTATATTTCAAACGAGAGGTTCCTGAGATAATTTCGAGCAACTTTTTCCTTTACAAAAATATTCTCCGCGGCTTCGTTTACGAGTTATCGACGAAAAACACCGACCAATGAGAGCGCTCGGCTGGCGCCCCGCCCTCGGGCCCACTGCCGCCGCATCAGCGTCACAGTCGCTCTCCGATTGGTCAGCGTTTTTCGCTAATAACTCGCAAACGGAGCCGCGGATCGCATTTTCGCAAAGGGAAAAGTTACTCGAAACGACCCGAGGAACCCCTCCGTCCCCGTAATAATTTATTATTATATATTATTTCTTATTATTATTATTATATTATTTATTATTATTATTATATTATTATTAATAATAATTTCGGGACACTCCGTATAATAACTGACTCCAAAAATTCTATCGTTCTGTGTCACTCGGAAAATAGGTATCAGGCCCGTCCACGTTCAAGGTCCACAATCTGAAGGTCGACGTCGAGAACTTGAGATTCACCTTCAAGGTGTCCTTCGAAAGGCTAGTCTTTCAGGGCAAGTATCAGATCGACGCGAGGATTCTTCTGCTACGGTTGGCTGGCGCGGGAGACCTGTCAGGCACCTTCGGTAATAATTCGCGTAAAATAACGTAGAGAAAAATTAATTTTTGCCACGTTATCGTCGCGTCGTCGCGTTCACCGCTGCTATATTTTTCAAGACGACTACGACTCCGACGTCGTGTTGCAAGCACGCAAGCTGCTGAGAGACGGGGACACGTATCTGACATTCGAGAGGATGAAGATCAAGATAAACATCGGCAAAGCGGATCTACACTTGAGCAATCTCTTCCGCGAAGACTCGATTCTAAGTATAATATTTCTGTCGATCACAATTCGAAAGACTTCCTTTTAGCAAAATATTTAATTTTTATATTTATTAATTTTTTTTATTAAAAATTATTATTCTATTTATTAATTTTTTATATTTATTATTTATTAATTATAATTTTTATATTTAACTTTTATTTTTTTAACGATTCCTTTTTTCTCTTTCGTTTGTTTAAATCAGGTACCGCTAGCAACGAACTATTGAATCAAAACAACGCGTTACTGTTGGACGAAATAAGACCAGTGCTGGAGACCTCATTGGCCGAGCTGTTCACAGACGTGGCCAACAAGGTCACGAAGTCCTTCACCTTGAAAGAATTGTTCCCGGAAGATTAACGTTTCTAGAAATAATACTGTAGCCTCGACAGTCTCTTAGTTTATTAAATCAATAACATTCCATGGTTGCCAGTATGCGTAAACGTGTCAAATTCATTTGATGCTGTTGCATAGAGATGCCTTTGTCTCGAGCACAGCCAGATCTTGAAAAGAAAAAATAAACATGTTTTCACGATTTTAAAAAAGATAATCGATCTGTAGGATATTAATAATATTAATAAATTGTCGTATATAAGTTATGTGTAAGCGATGAGTTATGTGCTTCGCTATAATATCTGCTTTTAATTTAATAAGGGGCACGCGTTTAACAATTTTTGTAAATTTATATATTTATGTATTTAGTTTTATAAATTTAACGGAGACATTCACTTTTGTCGGAGAGTGTACACATATTACTATTAGGCACCTTGAATTGCATCGTTCTTGAATTGTATCGTACTTGAATTGCATCGTGTTTGAATTGCATCGTACTTGAATTGCATCGAATTTGAATTGCATCGTACTTGAATTGCATCGAATTTGAATTACACTCGTACTTGAATTGCATCGAATTTGAATTGCATCGTTTCATTTGCAGCGTCGTCTCGTCTTACAGTTTCAGTTTGGGCTCGATTTGTACGATGCCATTTCTTAGAGTCCTTTCGGCGTCTCTCCGACGCAGTCGTGCGGCTCTCGGTGGCACTCCACGTGGCCTAAGCCTAAACACATGGCGAGCACAATGGTGCCCCTGTTAGGGGGGAGGGGGAGACTAAGGGAGCTCGACAGTTTATCTTCTCCAATCTCAATGGGGTGCAACGTGCGTCGCCGTTCTTGGCGCCGGACCGTCGAGCCAGAGACATTCATTATGCAATCAAATCTTTCCTTCTTGCAACAAATGCTTCTAAATGTACAGGCTGTCCCAAAAATGTCTCGCAATCCGAAAGCGGCGGGTTCCTCGGGTCATTCGAAGCAACTTTTTCCTTTACAAAAATGTTCTCCGAGGCACCGTTAACGAGTTATCAACGAAAAACAGTGGCCAATGAGAGGCGAGCTTGGATGGCGCGAGGCGACCGAGCCAATGAGCGGAACTGGGCTTCGCGCGCTGGTTGGCTGGGCCGCCTCGCGTCAGCCGTACTCGATTCTTATTGGTCACTGTTTTTCGTTGATAACTCGTTAACGGTGCCCCGGAGAACATTTTCGCAAAGGAAAAAGTTGCTTCAAATGATCCGAGGAACCCGCCATTTCCGGATTGCGAGACATTTTTGGGACGCCCTGTATATTCAAACAATTTGTCGCGGCGTCGAGTTTCATCGACAACGAGAGACTAAATTAATTTATTCACGGCGTTTTATTTGACGTACTGCAAAATAGAATGTACAAGTAACGAATACAAAACAAAGGATCATGATAGCAACAATATGGTAGCACATACATTATCTAACAATAGCGAACTTGGAACAACGAATAAATATAGTTGCTCGTACATCAAATCACTTATGAGTCTACGGATAATCACATTGCGTATGCATCGATCGACAACGGAGTCCAAGGCTGCGCCGACGTTGCAAATCATTTTTATTGTAAAAACCCATTCGCCTCTACGACGATTTAAAAGCTAAAGCATCGACGATATCGTGTACATAATTACGATATCTTCGGACTGAGACAAATTGTTCTCCCGTCGATTTTACCATCGAGGAATTTTGCTGCTCTCTCGTTTTACCAGAGGCAGAATAAATTGGCCGGTCGGGCTTGTCGAGGACCTGCGTGTGTACCTCGCTGATTACATCAGATTCTTCGCCTTTCCATTCTGGTAGATTCAACGGTGAAGAGTTTCCTTTGTTACATGTTGCTTGGATTATAATAATAAAAAAAGAAAGGAAAGTGACTTTGTATTTTTACAAATAATATTCTGCATCGCGTCGAACGATGCTGTGCGTTCAAAATGTATGTGCCGGCAATTTTGAAAGAAATTTTTAACTGAGTTGAGTCACTTGTTTCATGTTGCAATTGTTTACATTGTTTAATTGTTTACTAAAGAATTTGTGACGGACAGCCGTTGAAGCNTCGGGTCATTCGAAGCAACTTTTTCCTTTACAAAAATGTTCTCCGAGGCACCGTTAACGAGTTATCAACGAAAAACAGTGGCCAATGAGAGGCGAGCTTGGATGGCGCGAGGCGACCGAGCCAATGAGCGGAACTGGGCTTCGCGCGCTGGTTGGCTGGGCCGCCTCGCGTCAGCCGTACTCGATTCTTATTGGTCACTGTTTTTCGTTGATAACTCGTTAACGGTGCCCCGGAGAACATTTTCGCAAAGGAAAAAGTTGCTTCAAATGATCCGAGGAACCCGCCATTTCCGGATTGCGAGACATTTTTGGGACGCCCTGTATATTCAAACAATTTGTCGCGGCGTCGAGTTTCATCGACAACGAGAGACTAAATTAATTTATTCACGGCGTTTTATTTGACGTACTGCAAAATAGAATGTACAAGTAACGAATACAAAACAAAGGATCATGATAGCAACAATATGGTAGCACATACATTATCTAACAATAGCGAACTTGGAACAACGAATAAATATAGTTGCTCGTACATCAAATCACTTATGAGTCTACGGATAATCACATTGCGTATGCATCGATCGACAACGGAGTCCAAGGCTGCGCCGACGTTGCAAATCATTTTTATTGTAAAAACCCATTCGCCTCTACGACGATTTAAAAGCTAAAGCATCGACGATATCGTGTACATAATTACGATATCTTCGGACTGAGACAAATTGTTCTCCCGTCGATTTTACCATCGAGGAATTTTGCTGCTCTCTCGTTTTACCAGAGGCAGAATAAATTGGCCGGTCGGGCTTGTCGAGGACCTGCGTGTGTACCTCGCTGATTACATCAGATTCTTCGCCTTTCCATTCTGGTAGATTCAACGGTGAAGAGTTTCCTTTGTTACATGTTGCTTGGATTATAATAATAAAAAAAGAAAGGAAAGTGACTTTGTATTTTTACAAATAATATTCTGCATCGCGTCGAACGATGCTGTGCGTTCAAAATGTATGTGCCGGCAATTTTGAAAGAAATTTTTAACTGAGTTGAGTCACTTGTTTCATGTTGCAATTGTTTACATTGTTTAATTGTTTACTAAAGAATTTGTGACGGACAGCCGTTGAAGCAAGAGTAATCGCATGAATTTGTCCAATTTCGTTGCCGAAGTATTTAAAAGATATTATGTTCTCACGATTGTTGTTAAACAAATTTCGCAATGGTATAGAAATTTGATGATATATGATTATTATCATATATTATATTTAATATATGATAATAATATTATTATACATATCCTATATTATATATTATATTTAATACATGATAATAATATTATTATACACATCATATATTATATATTATATTTAATATATGATAATAATATTATTATACATATTATATATTATATATGTTATTATACATACTATATATTATTATTATTATTGTATTATTTATATATATTTTTTATATAATACACATATACATAATAATTTGCTAATAGAAAAATACTTTTCAACAAGCTCGAATACAAAAATAAATACCGGGACGAAATAATCGAAATCACCGGCACAAATTAACTCGTCGACGATGCAAACGATGCGAGATAATTACACATTTTTTTGATTAATCGTCGCCTATCACTCGTCTACCACAAGCAAATGGTTGCGGTCGACGCGTACAAACAAATACTAACAAGAAGAACGAACAATATTTCCCCGAACAATTCTTGCAACGAATAAATCCAAAAGATTTAACAGCGAACGCAGAGAGGGAGGGGGAAGGGAGGGCTGATCCTCTCCCGTCTTTGGAACGGTCAATCGATTTTGCCTCGACTACAATCATCGCAGCTGCGGCAGACGACTCGTTTCTGCTATCGTAGACACAGATCCAACAAAGCCGAGGAAGAACCGTCGGAGGAGACTACTACGGAAGCAATTCCGTCTTGGTGAGCACACCCAACGCTCTGGCGGCCAGCGCTCTGCTCACGGTCGCCGCGGTGTCCTCGATGATTGGGCTGGCGATGTCCAGAACCAGGCGTGGATTTGAATTGAAGAAGGTCGCGGCTGCGTCCGCTGCAAACAAGAAATTCGTTGGGGAAAGTTTCGGCACAATGGGCGCTTCCAGATGGAAAGTAGCGGCGCCGGAGAGCCGCGTTCTCGAGAACGAGCGGATTTCTATTCGATTTGTCGCAATATTTTGTTAACCCTTTGCACTCGGGACACCGCTAAAATTGTTATAATTGTTGTAATATCGAAGCTTTGGTGTAAAGATATTGTTAAAAGTCCAACCGTTGTACGAGTCGCAAGAGCCAATTGTTAACCCTTTGCGCTCTCGAGCGGCGACTCTGAGACGCCGCTAAAATTGTCACGCCACGTTCGAAGATGATTTTTGTAATGTCAAAGATTAGGTATAAATAATTGTTAAAAGTCTAACTGTCGTACGAGTCGCAAGACCCAATTTCGTACGATAATTTTTCGATAATTAAAGAAAAATAGTATAGTATGTGTACGTGGGAGAGAAGATACTTACCGGCTACGCTATGCGAGGGTGGCGCTTTCAGTTTGATGTTTCCGTCGCCGACGCGAATTTTCGTCACGAGTTTGTCGATTTCGAGCCTCTGGACGCCATTTTTGTCGGTAACTTCTCTGCCTTGGGCAGTCACCTGCGCTTCAGTGTTAGCTGACAAATAATAATTACAATAATTACATTGTGTAAACTTGCGTGGATCTCGACAATAATAATACAATTTTGTATATATATATATATATATATATATAATATAATTAATAGAATTATATAATATAATTCTCCTTACCCTAATGTACATAAAAGAAGGAAATTCTCTCATAAAAGCACAGACTTGTACAGTCTTAGACATAAACCGTGTCCTCTATGTCTACTAGATTTACCTACTTAAATTCGTACTTACAAAATTAACAAAATACTCACTGAAATTTCCTTTGAAATTACCGCCGCCGTTCAACGGAAGCAGCAACAGCCTCCCCTGCACATCATAGTCGCCGTTCACGTGTATATGAGGCAGCTGAACTTTGATCGCCACGGTTAGATCGTGCGGGTTCGCCTTCAGATCGTCGATGAGAAAATTCGTCGCGCCGTACACGCGTATCTGGCTCATATTGGCCTTGATCTTCAACGCCTCCAGATTTCTGTCGACCGTCAGCGACGGAAGATACAGAGGATCCAGCGCGGGAAGCTTCAGCGACGGTATTCCTTTAGCCAGATACGGTGTGATCGCGTCCAGTTGCTTCAGCACGCATCTGTTGTATTGCGCGAGGTCGTTCGTTCGAGGACAGGACTGTACTCCGGGCGCTGGAAACGTGTATGGATCGGTAAAGAAATCGAAAGTTCGAGGCAGAAGACTATAGCGCGACACGCGCCATCGATTCGCGTAAGTTTTGCTTGCAATTAATTCGGATAATAGAGGTTTAGTGGCTGGATTGGTCAACAGGACACTGCGACGATGTTATAAAATCCTAGAGAATGTTTTTACTATTATTATAATAATTGTATATTATTGTAATATATGATATATGATAATATATATTAATTATTAATATAATTAATATATATTATATTATTTAATATATAATTAATATATAATTATTTATTATATACTGGCGGGTTCCTCGGGTCATTTGAAGCAACTTTTTCCTTTACGAAAATCTCCTCCGAGGCATCGTTCACGAGTTATCAACGAAAAACGCTGACCAATGAGAGATCGCGTGTCGCTGCGTCAGACGGCGCAAGGGCGGGGCGCCGGTCGCGCTCGCTCTCCGATTGGTTCACGTTTTTCGTTGATAACTCGTTAACGGTGCCTCGGAGAACATTTTTGCAAAGGAAGAAGTTGCTTCGAATGATCCGAGGAACCCGCCGTTTCCGGATTGCGAGACATTTTTGGGACACCCTGCATAATAATATATAATAATTATTGCCAGGTGCCAGAAGTCAAATGAAACGGGGATCCGTCAATTTGCCGTACCGAACACGAGCGGCTTATAAAGCATCGCGCGTCTTGCTAGCGCGAAATCTGCATTCTTTCGTAGGCAGCAAAAGGTAAAAGTCAACGGACTGCATTGAAAACGGCAGGTGACTGAACGACCGGAGGGGGGGGGGGGCTGGGGGACGCCTAGCTGCTGACTAAGAAATAAGAAGTCACGGTGAGCGCGTTTTTGCCAGGCGTTCGACGCCGAGCCTAAAATTGAAAGTGTATACACACGCTTGTAGAAAGTGAAATTACGGGCCGGACGGGCTTTTTTTCAGCGAACGTAGAGTCCCGGAGGCGCTCGATGCCGCTGTGGCCTGGCTAGCATCGTTCCACGGCCAAAATTCAATTTCTTAAGTATAATATATACTGCAAAAATTGTTCGATTATTCTATAATATTGATCAGCTAATTAATATTGATTAATATTGATTTAACTATATATTTAATATAATAATAGTTAAATATATATATATAATATATTTATATATTTATATAATATATATTGTATATTTAATTATTATATTAACTATATATTAAATCGCGCTGTGACAAGGCGTTCGAAATTCAAAGTACAATTAAACGTTTTAATTATAGAATATTCCAAAACAGGTTTAAATGACGCTTTTATATATATCAACCGGTGCATTTGAAGCATTTAATCTAGTCCTAATTATTTTTTTAATCCATATACAAGTAGCATTATTAATATACAAATAGTTACAACAATTTAAACACTGAAAGCAGTTTTAAAAAGATTGTACAAATTTGTAAGCATCAGACCTATTTTTCTAAGAAAGCTTAAACAATTTCTGAAAAGATGACATCGAGTTCAGGTGCAACCTCTTGCAACTTTCGCGCGTGGAATAATTTTAAGACACGGATGCGGTGAGCGCGCTGGTCGCCGATACGAGACATATCAAGTTTCAAAACAAAACCGCGATTTGTTAAACGTTCCCGATGACCTACGAAAAAATGTTTCGAACAAAAGTCGATCAGTGTTCACTTTCCTACAAAGCAGAGTAAACAAAATTTCAATGAAAAAATTTCTTTCACGAAAAATGCTGCTCGCCCCGTGTTTTTTAAACGTCGACGCGTATTTTTAATTGCATAATATTGTAGCCGGTGTCGTAACGAGTCCAACGACGTATGATAATGTAACGTTAAACCTTAAAACAACGTGGAAATAATTTCAGACAGAGGAAGCGAATTCTCGGGCAACTGTGCACGGATCCGAAGGAAACCCACGTGGCGAGAAAGGATCGGGATTCCCTCCCCCCTCTTCCGGCGCTCCACTCTTCGAGCAGGCGATTGATAGATCGCTGGTACAAAGGCTGTAAACGAGCAGGGAACTGACCGATCTCGCGCGCGTATCGATTATTATCGGGCCTCGTGAAAGGAGACCTATCGCCTGGCGGGCCCGAATTTCTAAACGACCGACAAGAAGGGACCAAACGTTTCCTAGATGACGTGCCGGCGAAACCGGGAACGAGGCAATAATGATAGATTACGAACGGCGGGGCTGCGCTTTTCTATAATAGGCTACGCGCGAAACAGGCCGCGCTCGTAGAAACTCGCCGATAACTGGACTGCGGGTTTTATGCATTTCTGACTAGAATAGGTGTGTACGTGTAATTTGATCGTCGATTTATTGTTTCGAATTATTGGAGAAAGAACGGAGTTTCTGCGTGGTTTCTGCGCTTTGAATTTGGTGCAGGCATTTTTCTTTACCTATAAAGAATTGTTTATTATATTTATATTATATAATATTATATAAATATATAAATATAATGATATAATATAATATATTATTATAATATTATAATATAAATATAATGATATAATATAATATATTATTATAATATATAAATATAATAATATTATTATAATATTATAATATAAATATATGTGTATATATATAATATAACACTATATAACATTATATTATTACTTGAAATATATTATATTTTAAGTAAATAGAAATTATGGTATATTTTTATTACTAATTGTCAACGTATAATGATTATTTACATGATTATTATATATGTATATTACACTTTGCTACCTTTAATATTATATAATATTTAGTTTAACGCATTGACTTGCTTTTAAGAAAAACATTTAATTTATTGCAAGACAGAATTTCAAGAATCAAGATATATGTTGTAATTATTTCTATTTGTTGTATTGTATTCTGTTGTAGTTATTTCTATTTGTTGTACTGTATTCTGTTGCAATTATTATCTATTTGTTGTATCGTATTCTGTTGTAATTATTTCCATTCAATTTTAATTATTTAATTATTTAATTATCTAATTGTATGATTTTTTTTATTCGATGTGCTACCGTAAAAACAAATGTTTGTTGCTCCTATGAAACGTTAATCTCGCTTCAACGCACCTAGTCCTTTTTTGTTCAACGGTCGTCCTTGTACCAATTTCGCATGAGCGGAGGAGTCTGGTAACATCGGATTAAAACGAAGATGTGTGATTGTCTCGTTAACATCAAAGTTTCCTTTATAGGCGAAACATTCTTTGAATCGCTTGAAACAAGTTACCAACGCTTTTCACGATGTAAATGTGCATTTATGTTTGTCTACTTTCGCAACGATTGTTCTTGCAAAAATGATATTAATAAAAGTAATATTTGCAACGCTAATTAATTAATTGATAAAACATAATAAGGTAAAATATATGAATATAATTATTCTGTATCGAATGTTCATAACATCTTTGTATTATTTTTATTTATTCGACCTTTCTATTGTTTCTAGGGTAACTGCAATTTTGTTCTTTCATTCGTTTGCCGAACATTGTTTAATTAGGTTAAATGAATATAACCGGAGTTAGTTAGTTGAATAAAATGAATCAAAATGACCGAATAAATAGAAATGTTCAATCTCGAAGCTGTTAAATTATTAGCAGTCTTGCAGAACGCTCTATGTAAAAAGAATAAGTGTAAACAAAGAAGCGGATTGCATTTTTGCTAAGGGAAAAGTTACTTCAAATTAATTTTGAGACACCCTGTATACAATCCATGTGTATATTTATTTACATAGAAGGAAATAGAAGGACAATAAACCTTTTGCTCGACCAGAATCGTGTTTTAAATGAAGTAAACAGCTGTATTTTACACTTTTATCACAGCTACGATGATTAGCAATTGTTTCTCTATAATAATTAATTTAACGAGTTATTTACATCAATTTAATCTAATAGAACGAGATTTTTCTTATAATGTTTTAAGAAAGCATTACTATTTAAATTTCTAATAAAAATGTATTCTAACTGAAAATTTCTATTTAAATTACTATTAAAAATCCATTACAAGTTAAATTTATAATAAACACCAATCACAATTGACATTACCCCTTCTTAAAATCTGTTAAAATAAACTTTGATCGACACACGTATACATATTGCACGGTTCAAGAGCCAATCAGTGCGTCCAGAAATATCCTTTTTAATTTACACTGAAATTAAAAAATAAATTCTTAACATAATTGAAATTATTATATATTATATTAATTATTGCGAACAAAGTTTACAAACTATTTAAATTGATTTTCATTTTTTCACTATTTTTACCGAAGCTGCCAAAAGACTCGTTTTAATCGTTTCTATTTAAGACAATTTTTACTAAAGGGGTTAACGAGTATCTTTTAATAATTTTCCATTAAATTTCCATTCTTTTAAATTTACTGTGCTACTAAAATCTACTCTTACTTGAACGCTCAACCCTTTGTACTCGAGTGGCGATTCTGATACGACGTTAAAAATTGCCGCACCATTTTCAAAATAATTTTCACACTATTAAATTTATCGATAAATTGCCAGACAACAAAACTCTTCCATAAGTTAACATAAGGTTAACCCTTTGCACTCGAAGCAATTTTAACTGTAAATATAAAATCATGTGTCTAACTTATAGTATTTGTATTTTATACGACAAAATGCTTAACAATTTTTTAGATTCAAACCTTGTTGATATAAAATTTATCTTAGAAACAAAGATATAACAAATTTTAATGATGCCTCTGAGTCACCACTCGAGTGCAAAGGGTTAAATATCGACGGCAAAACAGCAGAATTTTCTTCGCAATTCAACGTAAACGATAAACATCGCTGGAAATCACTGAAAATATCTTTATTACCGAAAAACTCCCAGAAAATTCCCATCACGAGTCAAACTCGCCCAAAGTAGTACCGCAAAGGGTTAAAGGTGATCGAGGTGGTAGAATCGTACTTACGAAGTTCAGCGACGGCATCCCCGGTCCAGGCAGCGATCAGGAACAGCCCGAGGAACGCGATCATGGTGTTGGTGCGCGAGTTGCGTGCCGGTTAAACGCGATATCGCAATTACCGAGAGGAATATTGAAAATGCGTGCGATGGCCCTCCTTGCTGGGTATATATAAACTAAGGCCACTTTCTCCCTGTGTATATTCCCCTCCACCGTCGAGTAGTTGGTGAATTTATCACGGTAGAATGCCTCCTTTTAACTCAGTCAGGGCCGTAGCCAGCCGGCCGTTTGCCGCCGCACGCTCGCGACACAAAACAGGACTCGTTCTCCGTCGATAATCCGACCCCGTTGCTTGAACTATCGGACCGTAGGTCAGGATTTCGTTTCTCTCTTCCCGATTATATGTTCTTTCCATCCGCGGCCCTGTTCCGTACAATCGGAATCGCTTTCGGCGGAGCCGAAGAGATGAAACGCGAGGGATGAACATTCGCGTGGGACCGATAGACGTTGCAATTCCGGCGAGTCGTCCCGTTTTCGTTGCATCACGCGCGTCTTTCTTGTTTCTTCTGCATTTTTAACGGGCTATTATGTCACGGGAAAAGTAAAAGCGCCGAAGTTCGGCCGGCGACACGGTGAGAGCGTCCCATCCGGAATGCGAGACCTTTGATCGGACAGAATTTTCGGCCGACTCTGGCTCGCGTTCTTAGGCAAGCCTATTGTGCACGAAAATGGACAATTTGGGAGGAGGAGATACGATTGTTCGAGCCTCGCGGCTCGTTTTTATAATTGTGGACAATTTATAACTATAAAAATAAGCCGCAAGGTTTGTAATTGCAATTGATCAATTCAATCCAATTGCAATTGGAGCACAATTACAAAGTACCGAGTAATTGAATCGCGTTAATTACGAATACGATGCGATCGAATTGGAATTACGAATTGAAATATAATAAATTGCGGCCCGTTTTTATAATCGCCGATTGTCCACGATTGTAAAAGCGTGACGCAAGGCTCGAATAATCGTATCTCCTCTTCCCAAATTCGCCACTTTCGGGGACGATCCGAGGGTCGATTAGAGAGACATTACTGTATCCTTCGTCGTCGCTCGGCCGACTTCCGTTTCTCGTCCGTTTCTCGATTCTTTTTCCCATCTTCAGAATCGCGGCCGCCTTAATCACGATCCTCCGGTGTTGTAATTTCTTCCGGCGACCGCTCGTACGATAGTTCCTAGCAATGATTTACCATTAATCTAATAGCTGCCGCCGCGCCGTCCTTCGCCGGAATTCTGGCCGCCGTTTCCTGCCGAGTCGAGTCGAGTCGCGAGATTCTCGAAGACGATTATTGAAGAAGCAATATCTTCATGGGCGCGCGCGTAACCCATGCCAGACCGTCGAGGAATTCGTGGCCAGCAATTTGATCGCCGCGTACATGAAATGTTTCGCAATGTTTCGCCGGCCGCATTTCGGTCATCGACATCGTTGACTCACGCGATATTGTTTTGCGGGGAGTCACGGTGCGTTAAATTGTTTGTTTACCGCGCGGCTCGTGCTGCAAGAAGAAATCGCATTCATTCAGTGTCTCGCGGCGCTGTCGCGTCTATTTAGTCGGTGATCGATAGATCGATGACTTTTATTATTATTATTATTATTATTAGACAATTATAATATAAAATACATTGTGTTGAGATAATTAAGCAATAATTAAGTATATAGTATAGTATATATATAATATGGTAATATAAAATATAATAATATAGTATGTATTTAGTATAGCATAATATATATAGTATAGTATAGTATATATTTAGTATAGCATAGTATATATAGTATAGTACAATATATTATAGTATTATATTATAATATAATTTATAATATTATAAAATATAATATTATATTATGAATTTTTATATAGTATAGTATAAATATAGTACAGTATAGTATAAATGTATATATAAGTACATATTTATGTATGTATATGCATATGTATATTAATGCAGAATATATTAGGCTTAAGCTACGACAATAACAACAATTAATATCAACGTTAACGATTAAGACAAAGGAGCGGAGTTGTAGCAACACGATTACATCGAATATTATTACATTGCAGTGCTATAATCAATTGTATAGGTCAATCCAGTCTCTCAGCTCTGCCGTATTCATCCGCGTTTTGATACACTTAACCAGGCTACTTTCCCTATCACCGAACACCATCGGCGGTGTGGTGCAACACACGTTGAATTTCCCAAATGCGATTATGTAAAATCGGACGGATCCCGACTGGTTCCGCGAACAGTGACGCGTGTGGTGTAAAACTACACGTAACGCGTGGAAACTTGTTTTTAAATCGTACCGTACGCTTCTACGTATACGTACGTACGTACGTATATCGCTGCACCGTAATTGGAGCAACACGAGCCACGCGATCCTTAACTTCCAACGAATGTATTCGTCTCATTCGATTAGTATTAAAGAAAAAGAAAAAGATAAATGCAGGTTTCACGGCTTAAACGGCTTCAACGGCTTCAACGTATACATATATATATGTATATGTATATGTACAGTAATGTCTCCCTTACTGACGCTCAGATTGTCCACTAAATTGGACAAGTTGGGCAGAGGAGATACAATTATTCGAGCCTCGCTGCTCGTTTTTTATAATTGTGGACAAATTCCCCAAATTGTCCATTTTCGTGCGTAATCTGGGCGTCAATTAGAGAGACATTACTGTACGTATATAAATTGCATAAATTACTTACGATTACTCCCTCGCGTTCGCGCGCACCTATTTGTAAAACATGTGTGACTGTAATTATAACATCCCTATACTAAACGCTATCTAGGTTAAATAAATAAATTGAATGGTAGTCTCTTCTCTGCGTCGGATGCACGGAGAAATAAATAATCGTGCGAGTCGATAAATTATAACGTGCGGTTATTGGTTAACGTGTCAACAGTACGATACATACGTATTCGGTGCAAATAATTATTAAGCATCGACTTTCTAAACGATCAAATAAATTATAGATTTTATGGGGAACCCCGTAACGTCGAGCGCCGACGCGTTTCTCCTGAAACGATCGGCGTCCAATTGTTCCATGAATTCACGCGGTCGCTCGAAATACAGTAATGTCTCCCTTACTGACGCTCGGATTATCCACTAAATTGGACAATTCGGGAAGAGGAGATACGATTGTTCGAGCCTTGCGGCAAGTTTTTATAATTGTGGACAATTTATAACTACAAAAATAAACCGCGAGGCTTGAATAATCGTATCTCCTCTTCCCAAATTGTCCACTTTTGGGGAAAATCCGAGCGTCAATTAGAGAGACATTACTGTAAAGCGAATTGTTCGTCGACGTCGAAATAGAAAATAAAGAAGTCCAGCTGCTGCGCGTCGAGCTCTCTCTCTCTCTCTCTTTCTCTCTCTCTATGATCTGACCGGCAGGTTTTTGTACATTCTGTAGATCATCGCGTCCGCCGATTTGTCGTTGAGCGCCTTGGTCGCCAGATCGTCGGCCAGCATGGCGGCGACCGCTTCTGCGGCCATCAGACCTACGGACGAAAGTCAACGTGAGCATACTATTAAGCGAATCGATATCACCGATCATCGTGGGGGTGTAATGGAACGCTGCCGCAGAAAGCGGACACTTTTACTTCGTCCGCGATCATCGATCGACGTCGATACACCCGGTGCACCGGCCACTTTTACTTTCCTCCTTTGTTTCCTGTTTGCGGGGAATTATGCGCGGCCGTAACGCATGAAACGCTAAAATTTCTCATGTGGAAACTACACTACTCGAATCGAGCTGTTCTTTTTCCTTTTTTTTTTGTATTGTTTCTACGACGCGAGGCGCGATGGTCGGTTTCCGTCGAAAAAACGGAGGAAAGTCGGTTTTGAAAAATATTATCCTAATGCATAATTATGTAATATAATTAATTTTGCGAAATATTTATTCGGCGAATATTTATTATGTCATTTAAATTTGTGTCATCGTTTCTAATTATTTTGTTCTTTGAAGCTAAATAATTTTTACAGAATTTTTAACGTACTCAGTGTGTACTTAAATGATTAATTAATCGAATCGAATTGAAAAGAAAGATTGTATTTTTGAAAGGTCTGTTTGTAAATAATTAAAACACTGCGTTTATATGTAAAATGAAAAGGTTAGGCTGAAAGTATGTAATTTTAGTTGTTACGATCAAACCATCCGGTTTGAAGTATCAATAAATAAATAAATAATTAAATAAATAATTTGATGAAATTCTTACGCGAATGCCAGCACTTTTATTAGGAGATTATACGCCGGTGATTTTAACGCATGAGTGGACATGGGACGAAGTCAAACCACTATGTACTTGGAAGACTTAATTAAAAGAATCCCGTTTAATTTGATTACTAACTAAGTAAGTATGTCGCTATCTCCTAATCATGCAACGCTAGTTCGGAGACGCATTTCGTAGAAACATAACTAGATAATAATTCTATGCGTTTCTCTTTGAAACGTTTAATTTTGAAATAGAATTCGATTAAATTATTCAATTATTTTTATAGCATTATTAACATTATATACATATAAATAGATTAACATGTTTAGGTAAATAGCATTATTAATATTATATATGCGAATAGATTAGCATATATTAACATTATTAATACTATATACATTAATACTGTAAGCATTAGTAATACCAACATTATTACTATAAATATTATTAATGCTGACATTATTACTATAAACATTATTAATGCTAACTTATATTATTACTTTATAGTAATAATATATATTATTACTCTATAGTAATAATGTTAGCATTAATAATATTTACAGTAATAATGTTCATATATGCTAATCTATTATCTATTAATAATGTTTATACTATTATTAATATTATATGTATATAATATTTAATCGAAGCATCATCGTGTCTGTATAATAGCCGTCGATTTAATTGAAATTATAGATATTAATATGACAAATATTCCCAGTCAAATTTAACGTCAAACAGCTCTCGCTGTTCACATAGTATTCGAAGACCGTTCGCGCTATCGGAGACATCAACGCGTGGAGAGGCGATGCGAGCGCCGCTAACGGGAAAATCTGGCTTGGGAGTCGAGCTTGAACGTCGAAGTCGAAAGAAAGTAATTTTCAATCCGTCAGGCTCTCCCTGCGCTTTATGTAATTGCGTGACACGACGACGTTCGACTGTGTAAACACGTATACACGGTGATTCAATTAATAAGCATCGAAGAAAAATAATAAATGTTACAAAAGCAGTCCATAGATAATTGGACCGTGGATCTTTATGGAAATTAAAACATTTTCCAAGACGATTGCAAGAAGCAGAAATTAAATGAAAATAAATTGTTCCCTTTCATTATTTTAATCAGTTGCAAATAGTCTAACAATGTTGTTAAATTCTGCTTGTATCTTCATAATATTATATTTCGGCTACTCAATTTTGCCATGAACGCGTATAAAAACCGCGGCCTAATGATAACTAATTACGAGCAACCAAAACAGTGTATCACCACTTATCATAATTATTATAAATAATCGTAACAGAATTATTGCAACGAAAAAAAAAATGTTCGTAACTGTTATTTGTAACGAAAAAAATTGAAATCTTCCAATCACGTGGATCGTCGAACAATTTCATTGACATTTCGCAATTAAATCGCTTCGACTCGAGCAATAAACGCGACTCAGTTGCTGATTGTTTTCTTTTTTTTTTCGAAGAAACTTTTAGTTAACCTGGCTCGTTTATTTGTATTTGTCCGTGGTTCTCGACGAGTCGCATCGATCGGTGAACATTTTCTTTATTTCCATCGGTGAATTAGACGCGCGATCGAAGCGTTTTCACTTTCTTCATATCACGCCGTGTATAATCGTGCCAACGGAATATCGATTCATCCGCGTCGACAGAAACTTTCTGATCGGCTGACAAGGCTTCCTTCCCTCGAGCAAAATTCCCCTTTTCCGTCGTCGTTTTCCTTTGCCGTTCGCTAATTACGGAAGAACACCACTACCACAATGACGCAACGAACACAGACGAAACAGGCTTACGTAACGCCCTGAACCGGCCACATTGTCGCCCATTCGCATTCAGACCGTGCACTGTACACCGTGACTCACCGATCATATTTTTTTTTTATCACGGCACTAACAGCAAATACGTTTCCCGCTCGCTGATTAATAATTGCGAGGAAATCGCTGCGATTGCTTATTTGTGTTCACGTTTTTTTTTAAACGACGATATGTACATATTTGTTCATTATACATCATCGTTATGTATTGTGTAAATAATATATGTGTTCAATATATTATATTTAGAAATAATATGTATGTTCAATGTGTTATATAAATTATATATATGTTCAACATGTTATATAAATGATATATATGTTCAATATATTATGTTTATAAATAAAATGTACGTTCAATATATTATATAAATAATATATACGTTCAATATATTATATAAATAATATATGCGTTCAATATATTATATAAATAATATATATATTCAATATATTATATAGATAAAATATATATATATTCAATATATCATTTAACTTTCTTTCTTTTAATTTTTTAAATAACTTTCTTCATTCTTATTGGTCATTTCAACATTTTTACCGAGAAGATCCGTCTTTCGAGTGATAAACGACGTAATTAAATACACCGGATTAAAAGCAGAATTCAACTAATTTATAATAATCGAACAATAATTAATCACATTCATAATTAACGATTATAACTCGTCGGTTGTCATAACTAATTCATAATAATTAGGCAAAAAGTGATCAGATTAATGATTCACGATTATTAATTATAACAATTAACGTATTACAATGGTTAATCATTGACTAGACTACTTTCTGCCACTAACCACAGTTAAAGAATTGAAAAGATTGCCAAATCCTTTCGCCTATTACTTCAATTAAATCTGATAAAAAACAAAGCAGACTCACCATGACTGAGAATCGACTTCACCGGCCCTTTCTCGTCCATCCCCTGGAAGTCAACCCTTTGATCCTTCGCCCTCAATTTGCTCCTGGCCGCTCGCACCATCAGCGCACCTTGGTCCTTAGTTTTTTTCAGTTCTATGGTGAAGTCTCCCACCAGTTCGGCTGCAAATAACGACGACACGTTAATGACGTCTCCGTAAACCGAAGTAAAAAGCAGCTCGTTTAATCGAGAAATTGAAAAAAAAAGCATAGCCTACTGAAGTTTCCATTGAGTCGTCCATTTCCTCGCACCAGTTCTTTGCCCACTTTGCCGGTCAACTCGTAATCGGACTTGATGCGAAGATTCGGCGCGCGTATTTTCAAAATCACGTGCATCACGTCGTCCTGAGAAGCAATTCAAAGGAAGCACAATTTTCACATTTATTCAGATCCGTATTTGTTTATTTTATATAAGGAGGATTCTTTATAAGATGACTAAGTTAACGAGAATAAAGAGAAGAGAAGAGTCGATTACGTCGGTCTCGTTGTCTTTCGAGGCGCGCTTCTGCCGCGACCCTGGAGCACCCTTGCCGTCCACAGTGTCGTTGCCCATTCCTCCGTAATGGTACACCAACTGCATTCCTTCCTCGAAGAAGCCTTGCTTCTCCTGGTAGTTCTTCGCGTATCTGTCCAGATTTTTCAAGGTCTTTGCTTCCAGGGCGGCCTTGACGGCGTCGTTTCTCTTTGTCAGGGGCTCGCCATCGGTGCAGTTGTAGGCCAGCATCTTCTTCTTCTCGAGAACATCCTGCGCGAATCCATACGTCAGAATCCATTCCAACTATACAGTGTGTCCCGAAAATGTTTCGCAATCCGGAAATGGGAGGTTCCCGAGGTCGTTCGAAGCAACTTTTTCCTTTGCGAAAATGTTCTCCGAGGCTTCGTTATTAACGAAAAACACTGGACCAATAAGAGGCGAGCTCGGCTGGCGCGCTGCGGCCCAGCCAACGAGCGCGCGGAGCCCGGTTCCGCTCATTGGCTCTGATTGGTCACGGTTTTTCGTTAATAACTTGTAAACGAAGCCGCGGATCGCATTTTCGCAAAGGAAAAAGTTGCTTCGAATCACCTCAGGAATCCCCCACTTTCGGATTTCGAGACATTTTTGGGGCATCCTGTATATACTTATATTATTATATATATTATTATTATATTATATATATATTATTATATTATTATATTATTATATATATATATTATACTTAACTACACACACATACTTAAAATTCGAAAGTCACCAGGAAGAGAAAGTCGAAAACAATAACCTTAGGAATCTCCTTAACGCCATAAACGCGAGCGTTCTCCTTCGACTCGATCCTCCTGTTTCCAAATCGCTTCATGCTGCCGTCGTTCTGTCCATCCGCGTATACGATATCGATGTAACCAGGCTGCTTCTCTATGCGCCCTTGGTACACCGGCTCCCCTGGTCCTTTAACCTTGCTCTCGAAATTCTCGGATGCCGCGGTCTGACCGTCCTCGTACCTATCACCGACCCTTCTACCGCCATAAGCTTCCCTTCCCTGCGATCTAACATCCTCGTAGCGTCCTCCTTCCCCTCTGGCTTCGTAGCCGGCTCTTCTTTGCGATTGAACGTCCTTGTAACCCCCTTCGTCCTTTCTGTCACCGAAGCGACCGCTTTCTTGGTACCCTGAAGAACTAGATTCTGGCCTGAATTGGCTGCTTTCTTGGTACCCTGAAGAACTAGATTCTGGTCTGAATTGGCTGCTTTCTTGATAACCTGTGGTACCTGATTCTGACCTGAATCGACTGTTTTCTCGATAAATTGAAGGATTAGAACCTGGTATAAATCGGCTGCTCTCTTGATACCCTGTGGTACCTGATTCTGACCTGAGTCGACCGCTTTCTTGGTACCCTGAAGGGCTAGATCCTGGTCTAAATTGACTGCTTTCTTGATAACCTGAAGGGCTAGGTCTTTGCTTGAATTGACTGTTTTCTTGATATCCCGTGGTACCTGATTCCGACCTGAATCGACCGCTTTCTTGGTACCCTGAAGGACTAGATCCAGGTTTAAATCGACTGCTCTCTTGATATCCCGTGGTACCTGATTCCGACCCGAGTCGACCGCTCTCTTGATATGCCGTGGTACCTGATTCTGACCCGACCCGACCGCCCTCTTGGTACCCAGGTCTCTCTCCATCGTTCTCCTTGGCCCGATAGTTCTGTGCCCGCGGGTCCGCCTGAGCGTTCAAAGCGTACACCGTCTGCACGTCCGACGGGTACTTCTGGCCGATGATCATGCGGGCAACCTCGGGCCTGGAGACAACCCTGGCACCCTCCATGCTGAATCCCCCATAATTCGACTCCCTAGAAGCGTTCTCTTCCTCCTGATCGACGTGCTCCCGCATCCGGTCGGCCTGGATCTTCATCAGGAAGGGATCGTACTGCCTCAGCCTCTCGAATCGGCTCTCCTGCTCGCGCGTAGCAGCCTTGAACCTGCTCTCCTGATTCGTAGCGGAGACGATCGCCTCGAAACTCTCGTTCTGCAGCTTCGGCTCCTTGATCAGAGTGTGAAATCGGTACCGGATCGCGTCCAGGTCCCTCAGGTCGCTGTAGCTGACGTACCCGGCCTCCAGCTCGCTCAAATTCGACTTCAATCTTCCTTTAGCTATGTGGATGCTCTCCACCGTCGAACCATTCAACCCAGTGATCTCCACGTTACGTAAGATGATCCTGTAACTCGTGTCGCCCTCCGACTGGTCCACCTTGATCACCGGCACCCTCAACGGGTCCAGCTTGCCCGCCTTCGAGAAGCCGCCCGACAGCAGCTTCGACCATAACTCCTGCGACATAGTCAGCAGCGAGCCCTGGCCGTGCGCCGAGGCCGCCAGGCACAGGGCTACGAAGACTATACCCGCGGTCTTCGACATCTTCCGCCGATCTCTTCGCGGGTTCTATCGTCTTCTCCGGGATTGTTTCTTTGGATCTTCCTCGATTATTGTCGGCGCTTCGATGCAGCGAAGAGGAGGCTCTACATCTCCAGGATGTAGATCGGCTTGAACACCAGCAGCACGACGATCACGATCGCGACGAGGATCAACAGGCCGCAGAAGATGGCCCCGCAGATCAACACTCTGCTGTCCAGGCGAACGGTTTCTGCCTCCGCCAGGTTGTCAGTCCATTATTATGGCAGGCGGGGATTGATGCGCGGCGAGGAGGATGCGCGACGCGGTTAAGAAAATTCGTGGGTCTTCCGTGCAACTGTTGCGGCATCCGCGATTGCGAGTGGACGACGCGGTTGTCACGGTGGTTTTTATACGAGCGTGGAAGGGCGTTCGATCTGGGCCATGGACCAGCCGGTCTCGGCACATGTTAACTAGGCGAACGAAGATATATCTAGGCTATCTAAGATACCGTTCGTCCTTGTTCGCGCGATCGCGCCGCGCTCATCGCTCCCCTAAGTCCTGATCTCGTTGCGCCGCTATATGGGGGCAAGGTCCTTACCCGACCTTACGCGGAGAGCCGCGGTGTGGCCCAAACGAACATGCGAACATGCCGGGCGACGGTTACGTAATCGCGTTGTCTTAAATGTACATAGTTGTGGCTGCGGTATGCTTCGTCGCCGACAGATTTAAATGGATTAAATCTGGACTGGTGGATCTGTTGAAGCTGTGGAACACTCGTCGAGGCGGGTTCTTTGAAATTATGAGTATGTTTTAGGGGGTGAGTGAGGGTATTACCGCGGACGGACCAAATACTGCGGTGTTTTATATGAGAAATTTAAGTAATGTTGTAGGAATGAATATAATAATTTTTAGTGTATTTAGTATTGCTGTGTTCTTTAAAATTATCAATATGTTTTAGGGGTTGAGTGCAGGTATTACCGCGGACGGCCCAAATACTGCGGTGTTTTATAACAGGAATTTAAGATTTTGTAGTGGGGAATGTTGTTGGAATGAATATCATAATTTCTAGTGTGTTTAGTATTGATTATTTGTGACGTGAGAGTGACAATAATCGCGGTTTTGATTTATTTATTGAGTTTTGATGTTCATTGACTTGTGAATAAATTTGTTGACTTTTGACAGCTTATGAAAACGTCGAGTGTTATGACTCAAATTATATTCACCTTTTGAATCGCTTTTAATCGCTTCTAAGTCACTTCTAGATCATATTCACCTTTCTGCTGACGCAATAAATTGAAATAAATAAATAAATAAAATATACAATTCATTTAATTTTACTTTGAAAAGTAATTTCATTCTTCCATTCGTCGTCGAATATAATTTCCTGCAAATATGAACAAAATCACCGTTCGTTCTTCCTCGAAAAAGAAAGACAATTAGTTTTCGAACAAACCAATCAACGTTTTATTTTAATTTCAATAATTGCAATCGTCATTAGGATTCCCTTTCAACGACAAAATATTTAAACACGAGGATTTATTTATTTCTATTGTCGGTCGGTGTTCTTCGCGTAGAAGAATTCAACTCTGACAATGACAGCAATCGTTGAGATTGAATTAGGCAGTCTTTATTTTTTATCACCTCTGCCTGTCGCATTAGCATAAACGTAGGGAGCGCAGTAATAAAGTTTGCGCGAAGCAATTCGCGTGACCCAAAAATGGAAGCGAATGACACTTAGAGATATGACAGTGTCAGCATATTGTCGATCGGATGACACGTTCACCATCCTCGATGGCACTCAATTTCAAGTTATTTTGTGATTGAACGTCGTCGTGGTGACAATGCGAGTCCACTGGTGCTTTGTAATATTCTTTGCGACATGTCGCCTCTGCGATGGGTTGCAGCCACTGGAAATTCGTAAGTAGCGCATATTTTTTATTATATTACGTTGCAATACGTTAAATTATATTATATATATTAAATTATAATATTATACTGTATTATTATATTATATTATAATATTACACTATACTATATATTATATTATATTATAATATTACACTATACTATATATTATATTATATTATAATATTATATTGATATTATATTATACTATATTATTATAATATTATACTGTATTATTATATTATATTATAATATTATACTATATTACTATATACATGTATATTATTGATATAGTATTAATTACATATGCAGGAACGTCCGTAAAATACCGTAAACAGTTTATTAAGAGTTTACGTTTGTTCATGTAGTATTTTAGTATTTATTTACAATATTAACACTTTAATACTGTAAGCTATTAAGTCATAAGACCTTGAACAAAAATTTGCTCATCGCCATAAAGTTTGCTTATTCAGCGACAAATGATTTTCACGTTGTCTTTAACGTTGCGAACGAACAAAGCTTGCGGCGCGTACAATAAACCTAAATACTTGAAGCGTGCACTGGCTTCTGAGATTCTGTGCGACTCGTCGCGAATTAAATGCATGCGTTCCAATTACGAATTCCTGAATTTCAAGTGCGCATAACAGAATTTCCATTAGATCGTTGCAAATGAAACGTTCGATTATGCTGAGTGAGTCACGGAAACGTCAGATATGAATTGATGGTAATATAATAGTAACATTGCCGTATCATAAATTTTATGATGACATAAATATAATATAATATTATTATATTATAGTATAATAGTCAATAGTGGAATAATATTTGCACCGTCGAGGCGAACATTTTTTCCCTTACATAATTTCTCACATAATTGAGAACAATGACGCCTAAACAATTCCCCTAAAAAGACGAATATATATATATTAATATTATAATAATAATAAATATAACATTATATAATAAATTAATATAATATAATAAAGTATAATAATAATGTATAATAAAATATAATGGTATCAATATTTCTGGCATATAATAATAATGGTATATGATATTTGTTGCGGCGTCGTGTAACTAATAAACAAACCAGGACCATGATCTCGAAACGATACTGATCACCGATAAGTATAGTTGCCCGGCTCAATCAACAACGACTCGCGTCGATCATCGATCGACCAATTTGTAGCGCGTGTATCTCGGATTCGGCTGACCCTAATGGGCAAAAGATGTTCTTCCGTCGGCAAATAACACCCTTTTAAAAAGAAACGATTCGTCGTTTTCGCATTGCTGAAAACCACGCTCAGGAAAGTGCATGTAATTTGCAAAAACCTGTTCCGTAAACATCCGCGCGCAGAGATAAATGATAGGGGTGAAATCCGTCTTCCTGCAGCCATCCGCCGTAATCTGCTTGTTTTCAACATGCCACTTTCACGTTGTCATGCCGTTGTGTCAGACTTACGTGTTGATTTCGTCAACCTTGAATTTATCTGTTCACAATATACATGTATTCTCTGTTTATAATAATATAATATAATATTATAATATAATAATATAATATAATATTATAATATAATAATATAATATAATATTATAATATAATATAATAATAGATTATATTATAATAATATAGTATACATATTATAATATGATATAATATATATTAAAGTAATGTTATATATTATATATATCGAGAAACGAACAATATAATGTCAAGAATGCTTTAAAGGTATTTTTCCTTCGATTTCCAGCGTCATATTTAAAGATATGTCATCGAACTGACCCGAACATAAACGACTGCGTCAAAGAGAACATCATCGTGCTGAAACCATATTTAAAGGATGGCATCGAGGCTCTTCGGATACCACCCTGTGAACCGCTGCGCTTGTCGGAAATAGAAATCGATCAATCGTCCGGGCCGATTTACATCCACGCGAAATACACGAACATCTCCATCTACGAGGGCACCAATATTGTTCCGAAAAACGTAAAGTACGTACACAAATCACAGATACGCTTATCGACAACAGTTTAAAAAAGTGGAAGATAAATAAGAAATATTAACTATATATTTTTGTCATTCCTAAATGTTTCATCTTTATTTCATTTTTACGCTTTTTCTTTCCTTTCGCTTTATTTTGATTGTTAATTTCTTATTATTCTTTTTACTTGTCACACGCGCTAAATAAGACAATATTGCGATATAAACAATGTGTTATATTCTATATATTCTTCTGTAAATATATATATTCTTCGCTATAACATATACCTTATTAAAATAAGGCGAACATTTGTGTATGGTTTTTACCATAACTAGACTGCTGATTTCTATGCAAAATAAAAATTGCCTGCATCTTCTATCTGCTCAGCTAAAAAAGTTAAAAAATAGTAGATAAGTCCCTCTATCGCCTAAGAAAGAATTCAGGCCACTTAGCCCAGCGTTAAAAAAGTTATCGCGTTTCAAAAGGAGCAGTTGCGCGAGTAACGGTACGCTGAAGAAGTTTTCCTTCCGCCAGGGTCGACGTCGATAAGAATCGCATGAGACTGAAGTTCCACATCCCGCGGCTGAGCATGATCGCGAATTACAATCTAAACGGCAGGATAATGATGCTGCCGATCACCGGAAACGGCGTGGGCCACGGCAACTTCACGGACATCGACGCCATCATCACTCTTCAGATGCAACGTTACCGGAACCAGGCGACCGGGCTGATCCATCAACGGGTCGGCGACATTTACGTGGACTTCGAGATGGACCACGCGTCCATGCACTTGGACAATCTGTTCGACGGCGATCAGACGCTCTCCGGCGCTATGAATTTGTTCCTGAACGAGAACTGGAGGTCCGTGGTGGCGGAGGTGAAGCCGAAACTCGAGGAGAAGATCGGCGAGCTGATCAAAAATTTCACGGACACGATCTTCTCGGAGTTTCCCGAAGACGTGCTGCTGCCGCCCTGATGAAAATTGATTTTCATTTATGAATATGTTAAGAAACATTTATACGGTGTGAAATGCATTACAAATCGAAGTCAAAGGAAATTTTGTTTTATGAGTATATTATCGGTCGCAAGAATGAACAAATTGTTCTCTAAATGTACGATAAAAATTCGAGAATTCTTCTATAAACGTGCAATAAACATTGGAGAATCTTTCTCTAAATATACGATAAAAATTGGAGAATCTTTCTATAAATATACGATAAAAATTGGAGAATTCTTCTATAAATATACGATAAAACTTGGAGAATTCTTCTATAAATATACGATAAAACTTGGAGAATTCTTCTATAAACGTGCAATAAACATTGGAGAACCTTTTTCTAAATATACGATAAAAATTGGAGAATTCTTCTATAAACGTGCAATAAACATTGGAGAACCTTTCTCTAAATATACGATAAAAATTGGAGAATTCTTCTATAAACGTGCAATAAACATTGGTGAATCTTTCTCTAAATATACGATAAAAATTGGAGAATTCTTCTATAAACGTACAATAAAAAATTGGAGAATCTTTCTATAAATATATATATATATATATATATATATATAATATATATTTTTTTTTATAATAAAATTGATAAACTT